CCCCTGTCTGTCACCAATTGCTTCTGCCCATTTAGTAGGGGTCCTATTCCACCCTGGGCCTTCCTTTTGCTCCCTATATATCTAAAAAACAATTTTTTGTTATCCTTTACTTGGGATGCCATCCTCAGCTCCGTGGTAGCTTTGGCCCATCTAACTGCCTCCCTGCAAGCACGAGCAGAGGAGGTATACTCGTCTTTGGTGATCTATCCCTGTTTCCACTTTTTATGTGCTCCCCTTTTGGCCTGTAGGCTGCCCTGGATTTCTCTGGTCAGCCAAGGAAGCCTCCTGGCCCCTTTCCCTCTTTTTCCTTGCATCGGGATCGTCTCCCTCTGTGCCCGAAGGATCATTTCCTTAAGGTACAGCCACCCTTCCTGGGCTCCCATCTCTTCAAAACTCCTACTCTGCAGTGCGTCCTTGACTGATCTCCTGAGCTCATTGAAATCAGCTTTCCTAAAGTCTAGCACTTTCACCCTACTAGTTACCTTACCCACTTGACGTCTTATGATGAAATCTATTATTTGGTGATCACTGTCCCCCAGGTGACTACCAATCTGTAGGTCCCCTACCATATCATCCCCTGTTGCCAATACCAGGTCCAGTAAGGCATTCCCCCTAGTGGGACCACGTACCTCCTGCGTCAGGTGGAGGTCCTGTACACAGGATAGGAACGTGCATGAACAATGGGACTTTGCTGTCTGGGTCTCCCAGCAGATGTCTGGGTAGTTTCGGTCCGCCATGACTACTGCCTCCTTAGTTTTTATGGTCTCTGAGAGTTGCCTCAGGAGCCCCGAATCTAGTTCTTCTGAGGATCTTCACCCATGTCTTTGCCAAACTGCTTTTTTTCTACAGTTAGATGGAAGGCAAGGCAGGGGTGGCACTTTAGAAGACTACTTTAAAGGCATAAGCTTTTGCAGGTGACAACCTACTTTGTTAGATAACTAACACAGCTAACTACCTCTTTTTTAATTAGGTGAGATTAATCAACATGGTAACTTGTGATCTGTGCATCTTTCTTTGGCTAGTAATAATAACACTCCTTATTTTTCCTGAGCTGGCCTATGGTCTGTTTAGTTAACGGAAATCTTTCCTTGACTTGCATTTAAAAAACTTTCATTCAGGATCTTGACCAGCACATTTCTTGGACTGCCAGGTAAATCAGACAAGCAGTTGCATCAGTCTAGTAGTACTGTGCGGTACTGCTTAGCTTCTAGGACCAGATCTGTGCCTGTGTCAGAGGAGTACTCAGTGTAACTAAAAATAGAGGGTATTAAGGGGATGCCAAAGTGTCCTTTTTAATTGTTGCCTTGGCACTCTTAGTATTGGCTAGTCCCCAGCATGGGTTAGAAGAATGCTGTCACCTGTATCAGCTGGCAACGGCTTTAAAGCACAGGAATTATAGCAGTGCTATACTACTTAAGGATTTGTTGACATAGAGACCATTTGGGAGCCAAATCCATAGGTTTAGAGCTGCTTTGCACTGGGAGACTGAATCAAAGCAGCAAACATAGTGCCTGGTAGTAGAGCATGAAAGAAATGCTCTGAATGTCCATATAATCAAATCCATTTGACATTATTGAAGGTGAGGGGGTTTTTTGGCTTTATTTTTTTTAAATAGAGGGCTGTCATGTGATAGGAAAAGTAGATTGAGTCCATGGGAAGGGTGTCAGAATCCAATGCCAACCATCTGGACTCCGCATTTTAAATGCTACAGTGATAGATGCTTTTAGAAGACCCTAAAATTAAATTAATCGCTCCTAATGTCTGAAGCTGCTGCATTGCTGAGCTGTTCATGTCTTGTATTCTCATAAACAAAGTGTTTGATTAATAGACCCCAGAATTGTTAAACTTGTACAGTTCTGGTTTTTGGCCGTCTCTCTTGGTAACATGCTCCTATTTATTCAGGAAAAATAACCTACAAGTTGACACCGACAATCTTTTTGTTCCCTGACAAATGGCCTACTTTTAATTGTTCTTTGCAATTATAGGAATATTTGCCATCTGCTAGCCAGTTAGCCTATCCTGGTAATTTGATTGATTATATTTAGAAACTATCCCTAAAATAAATCCACAAGTTAGATGTAGTGATTTGTAGTATGTTGCATTAACTATATCATGCCGTTATTTCTGTAGTGCCTGCTTGGCTAAGTGCCATCTTTATCAACCCTGCTATTTGTGACTGTTGAAAGATGATGCCTTTGGCTCTGCATGAGTCAGTTCATTATCCAAATGTTGAATTTGCCAGCCAATCTGTATACCCCTGTCATTGAATAAGGCACTGATACCTTCAGTTCCATTAAATGCAGGTGTCAACCTACTCTTCCCTGCAGCTGGGTATAAGGGAGAGCATCTCCAGGTGACGATCATCAATGCTTGCCCATATATTTTCCTCTCTCTTGTAGCGTGTGGCACTGACTTTATTTCTGTAAAGGAGGTTATGTGTTCTGCCTTCAGTCTTGGATACAAAAAGCTAGATATCCCTCTTCCAAAAGCTTTCTACCTCTGGGTCTGAGTCTAATGTCAGTTTTCTTTCTGTAATTAAATTGACAGTCTTGAAACAATTCCTAATGGGCAGGAGTTGGCACAAATAAATAATGTACAGTATCTGACAGAGTTAGTATTCTTTGTTCTTAAGGCCCAGTTTTGCTGTGAATTGAGAGATAGCAAGGAATGCTCTGTCTAGATTATGGGTGACTTAGTTGGTGACTGATATGGAGAGAGTTATACTGCAGATTCC